TGATGTTTATTATTATTGTTGTTCTTTCTGTTTTTATGTTATTAAAAAAGTTCATTGAAGTGTGATCTTAAGTATCTGGGGTTTGTTACATGAATGCTATTGTTTTGCATTTTACTGCTATTATTCTGCCATTACCAAGTGGTCTTGTCTAGACCGACTTTTCTTATCAGTAAGGCTAGATCAACTTTTCATAACAATGATCCATGAATTCATTTGTTGGTACTTGTATATGTGGTCGTTAGATAGATGATTCACCAATTATAGCTTGGGTCTGGTTACATGACTGGTAAATTGTCCAAGACCCATTATTTGACATACAACCCACATGGGGTGGAGTCTCACAATTGATTGTGGTCCCACAACAAAGATCAACTTGGACAAAACCCAGCTCGAAACATGATTGCAGATATGTAATGATGGTAGAAAATGCTATTGTGACTCTTAGGTTTGAACACAGTGCTTCGTGCCATGCTGAATTTTGGTTTAGGCACAGACTTATCCTGTTTGTCTAACTAAATATCATATGCATGTTATGAGTGCTGGAGGCCACAACTACATGTCCTGTAGCACTAGACCAGACATTTCTTATTCATTCTCTCCATTTCATTCATTGAACAAATTGTTGATAGTTTTTCTAATGGAATTTGAACAATGAAGATATCTAACAGTTTGCAATTTGATCTGCAGTCTGATTTAAGTTGCACAAATTGGTATTTAGTGATTTCCAATAGATTTCACTTTATCAGCATAATTTTTAATTAACTTAGACCTGTGTAGCATTCTAGGAAGATGCATTTAGAAATGTTTTTAGTTAGAGCCTTTTATTTATGTAAATAATGTGCAATATATTCTACAGAAAGATCTGAGCCGCTAGATTGGGATACACGTCTGAATATTATCATGGGAGCTGCAAAAGGACTGGCTTACTTGCATCATGATTGCTCCCCTCGGATTATACACCGTGATATAAAGGCAAGCAACATTTTGCTTGATGGCAATTTAGAGGCACGTGTATCTGATTTTGGACTTGCCAAACTATTGGAGGATGAAGAATCCCATATCACCACTATTGTTGCTGGGACATTTGGTTATCTGGCTCCAGGTATGCTATATGAAATGCAGCCAGTAATGTAGGTTTGTTTTGAGAAACAATTTGGTCATTTATTCACATTGCTGATCTACCTCCCATGAAGTTGTCATACATCCAGTGAATAAGGGACTTACCTCTTGATAAGTTGAATTTTATGATATAACAAAAAAAAATCACTTCATATAATGGTCATGCTCCTAATTGTCGGTTGACTTTGGAGATGTCCAAATAATATGTTGAAAAGTACTTTAAAAATAATAGAAAGGAAAAGGAAATACTGCATGTGTATCATCTTGAGACATCCCTTGGATCTTACATAGGAGCAACATGTGCATGTCATGCTCAAGAGGGAGGTTGATTTTGGACATGTGGATGCACTGACCAAATGGTTCTCTTTGTTGTTGAAAATTCTTCTATTCTGAGCTTCAATGCATTGACCAATCTGCAGAGTACATGCAAAGTGGTAGAGCAACAGAAAAAACTGATGTATATAGTTTCGGGGTTCTGGTGTTAGAAGTATTGAGTGGAAAGCGCCCAACTGATGCATCATTCATTGAGAAAGGCCTTAATATTGTGGGATGGGTATGTCCCTTGCCTATGCTTATTTAAGTGATGCTTTTTGGCAATTTACCCTTCAAATGTCCTTTTTTTAATTACTTTTCATTCCCTATCAGCAACTTAATCAGTATCTGCTTCCCTTGGTGGAATGCTACAACTGCACTTAAGGCTCCACTTGTTCACTTTAAATGCCTAGAAGAGAAAATTCTGGTTTACTTTTGCTTTGTTTGCTTTTTTTGAGAGAAGTAAAATGATGTGGTCCCCATTTTTATTGGTAAGAATGAATGTGGAAGGTGGTAAATGTTGGGATGCAAAATTTGCACTGCCAATGAGTTCATATAAGGCCAAATTTGCAAAATTTTACCCTAGATAGGAGTGTAAATCCTTGTTACAAACAAATGCCTTCAAATCCAAACTGGGTACACCAAGTTTGGATTTGCAGTGCAAACAAACAGAGCCTAAGCAAAAATCAGGAAAGTAGCATGGAAACTTGCTTATCTCATTTTTCATAAGCTATTATATTGATCTTATATACATAATTTGTTATTTATTTTTATTTACTAGTGCCATCGATTCCCAGATGAATCCATATTAACCATGATTTAGAAATCTCTACTGAAAAATTACATTCATGATTCACCTTAGTAAATAAAAAAATTGGATTACTTTGGGCTCCAAGCTTGCTATTTCCATTAACCCGAGAGGTGCTATGTTGAATGCTAAAAGAACCTTGAGTTGTGTGGAATCCCAGAAAAGCAAGTTTGTGAACTGTCATGCTTTTTGAGAAACAAAAACCACAAGGATGCCCTTGCCCATTTTTGTAATTTTATTAATTACCTTCTGTATTTTTATGTTTCCTGACTTCACTGGCACCTTTTTTAACAGTAATTTGTATTAAAAAGGACCCTACATTACAAATTCCAAGGGCACCCAAATAGGCAGGTTATCTAGGACATTTTATATTCAAATTATCAGTTGCTTTTAATCAAAATTACATGTGGATGTGTGATTTTGCTTTTAAGGACAATGGTTGAAGGTAGTGCTGCATTTGGGAGGTGGAATGTGTGTTGTCATTTTCAATTGGTTAGGGTTTGTTGGTTGGTAAGGCTGTTTTTAGTTGGAAGGCGTACAGATAAATATTGTTTAAAGTTTTAGTTTGGTAGGAAAACTGGGGGAAGCAATGTTTTAAAAACCGAACTGGAGATCGACCCAGTTTTCTTTCCAGGTGATGGTCACTGGTTCAACTGTCCAGATTGAATGGATCAGACCATTAAAGTGGAAATACTAAGGTAAGCTAAGCAAATATAAATATCCAGGTATCATCAGATATGAAAATGTTATCAGGGTAAATTGGTAAAATGTTTCATTCCAAGTCTCAGCCTCCCAGGTCTTAATTGTTCTGCCACTTGATCAATCAGAACATGAGCTCTACCAAAAATAAAATAAAATGATGATAATCTTAATATAAGTCTTCCCCATAATGGTTCCAGCCTTGATATTCATACTTTGTACAATTGTACCCTACGTCTATATGTTAACATAATTATGTTTAGGCCTACTAGATAAAAGGATATGTATGACATTTATTTAAAGCACAATTGTTAGAGATATTACACTGTGTTTGTTCTATAGATGATAAAAAACTTCCATTTGTTAAGACACCATGTGGAAAGCATATTTAGAAACATAAGAGATTTTCTTTCCAAGTCCTGTAAAGAATAAGATGTTGCTTTTCGGGGAAAAAAAGATACTTCTGTGCTATTGCTGTTATTGTTGTTTTTCTAGAATGCTTTCGAAGTGCATTTTTGCTACTAGTGCTTTAGGTAGCAAAAGCACAAAAACTTGTAAACAAAAGCTTGGCCCTTGGATGACTTGCTAAAGACGATGAACTTCAAATATTGGTCTTTCATTCTTGTATACAATTAATTCTACTTGGGAAATGTTGACACGTAGTACACATGAACATGATTTATTACCCACCACTTTGTGGGTTGCATCTGGCAGATGTTCTAGGTGATTATTAGGTGATCTTGACCATAGGACTCTTAAAAACTTAGTGGTAGATGTGCCACTTAGCATCCCAAAAGAGTGCCATGGGTTATTGCCAAAAGTCTAGGAAATCTGCTAGACAGACCTTTGAGGTTGCAGTTCCTAAGCCCATGGATTCATTGTTACTTCAAGTTTATTGGTTTTCTTTGATTCAATCCTTGTTCTAATCCAGTACTTTTATTGCTTTGCAGTTGAATTTCCTGGTTGTGGAGAATAGGCAAAGGGAGATTGTCGATCCGCAATGTGAGGGGGTGCAAGTGGAAAGCCTTGATGCTCTGCTCTCAATTGCAATACAGTGTGTATCATCCAGTGCGGAGGACCGTCCAACCATGCATAGGGTGGTTCAGATACTAGAATCCGAGGTCATGACACCATGCCCAAGTGACTTCTATGATTCCAACTCAGATTGAACCTCGGAAAACAACAAAGTGAGCTTGTTTTCTATTCCACTTAACTGCGCTTTCTCACAAGAATGAAGAAGAGCAATGAGAGCTGCAAATGTGGTCAAAATAGTGGCTTGATTTTTGTTCTTCATTCATTCATTCTTTTCGGCAGATTTATAAAAATCGCAAAGTGTATGCATCATCTTAGATCATTTGTCCTCGGGTGAATCTAAGCTTCTTTGCAGGAAGATCAAGGGTGTAGCATCTACATACCATATCCTCATTCCCACATAGGTATGAACGCATGGTTCTTCCATGTGAGAGATTTGCACCTTTTAATTTCTTCTTTATTAACTTTTCTCTTTTCTTTCTTATTTCTTTGTTATTTATTCACTTAAATGTGTACATGGATGATAGAAATAGTGATCGTGTACCACCACTCCAGTGAATGTTCCTTTTTGATTTGCCATTGTAAAATCTCTGAGCAACTCTTCCTTGGGATAAACAGGATAAGTTAGAAGGCAGCACTTGAAGCCTATCTGCTGATGTGCAACCTGATTTTTTAGATGATTTTTGCATGCATACACGAGTTACTGGACTTCTCTCGGTTGGCGTTATCTACCGGAACTTGTCGGCCTTGAAAATTTCTTTGGCCTAGCAGAGCTGGTCCCCCATAGTTTCTGCTATAAATTTTGAAGATATCTTAGCCAAAATTGACCTCTATGGCTAAACCAAGGTTAAGTCTGCATGAGACAAACTCTCACACTTTACAACGTTAATTTGATTTTTTTCAAACTTCGACCTCATTAGCTGGAGTTTCCTTTGGAAAGGTAAAATCGCAGAGTCTACGATACGATTTTACTCGGTACTAGTGGGCCAATCATGATACACACCTTCACCACATCAGTTCTCTAAATGGGTTTTTATCATGATTAAACCAGCATCCTCCGGTTCTTTCAGAGGATTTAAACAGCCCTCGGGATCAGCTCTTTTGAGTTCAGATATGTTGCATTACCAGCAAAACGTCAAAACACTCACAACATTGTCCCAACTGGCAATTACAGCTCTTTCTGAGTTACGATCTTCTACCATCAAAATGCTCACAACACTGTCCCAACTTGCCATGACAGTCTATTGGGATCATGAATTCGGATCTGCTTCTCACAGTGTGCTTCACACCGATTTCACAGCATGTATCAACCTGCACCTGGAACATTTTGTATTTATAAATTCTTAATTCATGGGGAGATGTTCTAGATGAACGGTTGATACATACTGTAAGGTTCGTATGAGACGCGCTCTGTGAGGAATAGATCCAAATTCTGGGAACATCTATCTCCCTACGAATGACAAGGGAGATGTTCTCAATGTGGCTGGAGTGGCCTGTTGGGATCTGTTTCTCCCTCTTTTTGTTCACTCATAAAGTAACAATACACACAAGGTTCAAAGTATCAATACTGGCCCAGCCAGTATCAGTCCTTTTTTTATAACTTTTACTTTTTTTTTTATTTGGTTCAGAGGGGCTGGTTTAAGTCCCGGCTATCTTCTGAACCAGGCCCTGACCCGATACGATATGTGTCGGTCGATACGGACTAATATAAAATGATTTCTTTTATCTTTTAATAAAACTGTTATTTATCAAAAAAATATATATATAACGATTTTTTGAACCTTAAATACATATACAGGGAAAGTTCAACTATCTATAGTCGGAGTTCAGATCTACCACCAATAAAACGTTTCAAACATGCATATTAGGAACATCTCCCCATGAATGACATGGGTGATATTCCCTTTCCCAATGTTTGGCTGCCGAGGCCAGTGCTGGTAGCAGATCCCTGCCCCTATGGTCGACAGCCTTAGGATACGTTTGTTCACGCAGACTTCTTCGAACAGTAGGATGCACAGCTCGGTGAGCTAACGTGCCATGCAGGGAGATCCCTATTGACAGCCGAAGCTGTTGACCATAAACGCAGACTCCTTGGATGTCTTTTCATGGGTCTGAACTTGTTAGGGGAATGTAAGGAGTTTAAGTACCTCGTTTACTATTACTCCTTCAAAATTTCTCTTCAACTTTAAAGATCAACAAAGGTAGCTTGAGAACTTCAAAAATTTAAACTCGTGCTATGTAAACAAGGCATGATGATGTGTTGCAGTGGTGAGATACTGACTGAATGAATGTTTTCTTACTTTCAAGCTTGCCATCTTCATCTTTGTTGCTTGTGGGACAGTTTCTATCTGTAAAAATACTTGAGATTTCACATTAAAAGGGAAGAAAATTCATCCGAATCAAGAAGAATACATTTTTTTTTTCATTCAGGGTTTTGGTTTGTAGGATATACAGATCTAGAATTGGAATCGGATTCAGCCATTTGGTTAAGTGGAATTGGATTCCAATTCCCATTTTGGCCTTCCCCTGTAATGAGAATCTCATTCCAGCCAGGCAAAAATAAAAAAATAAAAAAGACAAGTAATTAAAACCCCCAAAAACCGTATATCATCACAACATTTGAAACCACTGTTTTTGTTGTCAGTTATTCTCTTTTTTCATTTCTAACTTTTTTGGTTGATATAAGTGACCTTGAGCCCATTTTCAATGAAAGACCTTCTCTTCTACTACCGGTGCGGTGAGGTAAACCACTACAGTTCAAGGGCAACATGGGAAATCTTGGTTGATTCTGATTTTGACTTCCAAATGAACCAAACAATCAATTGGAAATTTGATTCTAATTCCCATATAAATCAAACTGGTGGGGAATAGGCAATTTTGATTCTAGGGGATTTTGATTCCGATAGCAAACGAAATGGATCCTTAATCTTTCAATATATCTACATGTTTAAATGTTTGAAATACAACCGTACAAGAATATATTGATTTATTATTGGATCTATGATGTCTTTTCTTGTGTTAGTAAATCCATGAATTTTTCCATTAATTTATGAGCAATTTATTGCAAATATTTTTTTTTTTTCAATTTATGACATGCATGTGATATGATATGCATTTTAGAAATTCTAGTGGGTGTGGATCTAATATAGTTTTTAAACTTAGAGTATATATTTCCGTAAAATATGATTAATAGTTTTATTTTCAAATAAATAAAAACATATTTATTATTTACAAAAATACAGTTAATATTTACAAATATTAACTTAATTGACATTAATAAGGCTTTAAGAAGTTATGTAGCCATTTGCTATCATATTAAAAATTTAAGATTAATTTGACTTATTTTTTTTAATTTGGTAATATATAGAAGTAAAAATAATAATACATAAACTAACTAATTTAATAATTAAAATATAATAATTGCACATGGTTTATGTCTTGAACTATTGGATTTCTGGATCTTCTACGTTCTCATGGATCTAGTGTATTTTTAGATCAATTATATATTTCTAAAATTATTAATAATTTAAGTTAAATAAATAATATATTAATGGTTTTGTACATGTAGTAACTTGTAAAAAGCTATAGCCTATATGATATGCCTTATACCATTGGTTGGTTGTTGATGCATTATTGGTAAAGCTATCGTATGATACCAAATTGTTCCAACATGTTGATTGCAAAGTATTTCATCATGACAGTCAGCTCTCTCTGAGTTCAGGTCTTCTACCGACAATGGGGGAGGGGAGGGGGAGCCATCCCCACTGCCATAATCCCCTATATATATATATATATATATAATATAATATAATATAATATATATGAATAAATATTAATGATTTTTTTTACCATTTTTATTACTGTTTATAAATTGCCATTTTTAAGACACTCAGGTCCACATAAATTGACTCTTATATGTCAAACCCATAAAATTATACGGGTCATTAAATTCAACTTGAACCATTTATTACTTTAATTTAACCATTTATTATTATTATTATTATTATTATTATTATTATTATTATTATTATTATTATTATTATTATTATTATTATTATTATTAACTATTTTTATAAATAACCGATTGTTATTATTATTTACTTAATTTAGTAATTTTCAGCAAGTAATCATTTGATTTAATCTGAATTATTTCAAATTTTTTAATTATTTATAATAGAAATTTAGTGTCAATATTTATAAGTAATAAATTTATTATAAATATTATTTTTTTAAATAAAGAAATAATAATTTCATTTATAATTAATTAAGTTAACAATGTTGAATAATTAAAAGTTTAATAAATTAACTATCACTACATCAAATAATTAATGGAAAATAATAATATTATTAATTATAATTATTGATAATAATAATATTAATAATTAACATTACTTATATATTTATGTAATAATTATTTTGAATTAATATAAATATTAAATGGATATATCTGAAACAATAATTATCATTATTAAAATCGTTATTAATTAAGGATATTTAACTATTATTGGTAATTGATTATAAGTAATTATTATCATTATATTATAAGTAGCAAAATTATATTATTAAAAGCAATTAATGATATTTACCTATTTTTATCAATTTTTTTCTACTTATAAGGTAAATATCATTATAATTATTAATCTATAATAATAATATCATTATTATTACTGATATCAGTATTTTCAGCAATTAATTTTAAGTAACTAAATTTTGCTGCTTACAATTTTTTAATAATAATCAGTATTATTAAAATATTTTTAATATTATACTAATTATAAAATCAGAAATAATTATAAGATTACAATCATAATAGTAAGAGTAATAATAATAATAATAATATTATTATTAAGTAATTAATTTGTTGTAATTAAATACTTTATTTAATTAATGAAGTAATAATTATTAAGTAATTTTGTTCTTTTCTTTATTGAAGTGTTGAACATTCAAGGAGATAATTTACATGTGCTAATGGAGACAAACTTTATCAAATTTTACCTGTCAATTAAGTTTTTATATTGAATTTAATGAATTAAAGCTATTTGAATTTGTAATAGATTTTGAACACATGGATTTATACAAAAGTACATGAGATATAATTTTTTGTTTTAATAATATAATCATTTCTTATAAATTTCATGTTCCAGCTTATAACTATGAAAGAAATAAGTGTGTTTGTATTCAATATGGGACAAAATTCAGGATTTAGCCACGGCTTTATAGGAACCATAGCGATGGGTTCAAATTTCAGATTCAACTTTAGCTACGGATAGTATAAAACTGTAGCTACGTATGTGTATATTTTTAGCCACAAAATCATAGATACATAAGTACATTTAGCCACTGTCATGAAATAAACGTAATTGATGACATAGCCTTTAGCTACATTACTATTGTTATCAATAATTAATTATTACCAGTAATTAATTATTGTCAGTAATTAATTATCGTTGTTAATTAATGTAGGTAAAAACATTAATATTTGGGTCAGTAAACATTACTATTTTGGTACTTACAATTTTTTAATAATATTTGGATCAGCAAACATTAATTATAAGTAATTATTGTTAGGTATAATAATATTTGGGTGTCTTGGGAATATGAATCAATTAAAACCGAACCAAAAGCAATATAAACCGAATAAAAAACAGGAGCAATATAAACCAATTTAATCTAGGCGTACCAGACCCGACCCGATCCAGATTCCATCACCATCTTTACCCGCATATAAACAAAGTTTCGCTCGACAGAAACCCAAAAACGAAAAATATAGATGCAGGGGCCTTCGAGAGGCCAAATTAGGGAATAAGAAAAAAAAAAAACAGAATAGGTGGTGATAACAGCCACCTATGAATGCTCTTGAGTAGCAATTCGCGACTAGTATAATATGAACCTACGAACACTGGCGGCCAGGAAAAAAATGATCGCCGGTGGTCGGCGATCTATTCTAAACACAAACAAACATCTAATCGGAAACTAAACAGAGAATGAAATGCAGTTTGAAGCAACTCCTGTATTGAACTCTTCTCCCGTTTTAGATTTGCAGTCAATCTCTTATCCCGTTTTGCTGAAACTTTTCTTTTACTGGTGTTTGAAAACAGAGGTGCAGAGTTTGAAAACAGTGGGTGGTGGATGCAGTCCAAATGGGGTTTTGCATTCCTTATGTCTCCTCTTCCTACCAACCCAATAACATCTCCGCTTCCTACATTTTCGTTCAGTGGCCGGGTAACTGATTATGTGAGGGGTTTTGCATTCCTGAAATTCAAATACGTGAGTTGCTGCAAGTGTCGTACTAGGGAGTGACTATGGCTTGCCGCAATTTTGTATGACCATGCCTTTGAACGGGAAGGCATTTGAGAAGGCCACGTATTTGACTGGGAGGATATAATTATATTTGGACCATGTTGTCGTTATTTCCAAGATTTTTAAAATCGAACTGGACAAGAAACCGTGGGGACCGGTTCCCAGGTCCCAGGAGTCCGACCATCCGGTTCAAACAGACAGCTCATTCTAAATTAAAAAAAAAATCAAAAACCATTGTCCAGGGCAATAGTTCAATGGTCCAGCCGCCCAAATCAGTGGGTTACTGACCAAATAAACAGTTTTTGGCTAAAAGCAGTTTTAGGGTAAAACAGAACCGATTACCTGACCAGTTTTCAAGTTTTCTGGTCCGACCACCCGATCCAAGCCAGTTTTGAAAACCATGTTTATGAAAATTTTATTAATATATCAAAGCGCATCCAGACAAAAAAAAATACATATATATATATATATATATATATATATATATATATATATATATATATACCACCATATTCATATATATCCAACTACTGATATACTTTGTGATAACAATATTTTGAACCTTGATCTGAAAATTCAACATGACATTTTCAAACATTGTGCCGTGAGGTTAGGGCCTGGCGGCCTGCATTTGTTAAATTACAAATTACTGGAACATGTTAACTAATAGTTCTCAAGATTATTCTCAAACCATTCAGAAACGCCAGGCTATAAAAAAATGACCTGAAAGATTTCTCTAAAAATACAGAAAAGGTAGGACTTTCACAAGTAAGATAAATAACGTTTAATAGAATTAATTTTAAATTCTATACATGACATCTTATGACGGACACCCAAACATCTCGGTCAATTTCTAAACATGAATCATATTCAAATTGCCAAGAACCTCTTCACAACATTTGCCAGATTCTCTAAAAACTCGTTCATGTTCAGGCAGAACTTCAACATACTCATGTATCAGACATGCATTCAAATTTAGTTTTACTCATCACTGTTGTTTTAGCCCCAAAGTCTTGGCTATTGTTGAAATATAATGCTGCATGAAATTAATTACGCCATAACCAGGTTTCTGCATAGCATCAATTAACAATTGGTAATCCCTCAAAATAGCATCAGATAATGGCTCCAGGAATTCACACCTGGCTAAGATTTCAGGTGGTGGTACTCCAGCAACGAGGTCTGAATCAAGCTTTGGCTTGCCCTTGGTGAACTCTTGAGACTCTTCAATCAAAGGGTCCTCAAGGGCAGATGGCGATGCCCCTGGGATGACTTCCTGCTTGAAAGGCAATGCTCTTGCCACTTGCAAACAGAACTCTATCCATTGGTGAATTAGCGGAGATGGACCTCTGATTCGCCCACCAATTTGACTTGTAGAAAATCTAGAGGCGGAAGGAATTGCCTGCAAAGAGTATAAAATTATGGTGTTTGGGTTATTTTAGTAAGAACCTCACTCACTAGACAATGGAGCACGACGCTGTCAAGGGAGAAATGATGTTCCAAGTACCAACATCTAGACACATTTTGATTCTGGCTTTAATAGGTCACTCCCAAACTGCACTTTGTATTTTGAATCAGACAAAGCTCACTAGGAAAACCTGAAACTTGTTACATGTGGGGCATGAAAGAATCTCACAGCAACAAATTCAACAATTGGAAAAAACCTAGTGTATCACTAGTTAGTGGCACAATAACAATGGAACAGAACCATCACTTTTGTTAATGATAAATACATGATGGAACAGAAGCTCATTTTTTTGGTAATTGCTAAGTGGAACAGAACCATATTTGGGCTACAAATTTGCCCACATGCAGTAGTTTTTTTTTTTTTTTTTTTGATCAATAACAACATTTCATTACTTAATCACAAAAGAATTACAGAGGAAGATAAACTTTCTTATCTTCCGAAGGGAGAAAACACTCCCAAGAACGAAAAGAAAAATTGCACTTGTGCCCAAAACATTGATTCCCTCACAACTCCTTGCTTAGCTAATCCATCCACAAAGGAGTTAGCTGACCTTAACTTCCATCTCCTGAACCAGCCACCTAAACTTCCTCCTCTCATTACTGTACATCCATAAACTGCTATTTTCTTTATTCAGCCACCCTACCACCACCTCTGAATCCCCTTCAATGAAGAGTTTTCTTATATTCATCCTTGGCTCTTTGAACCTCCTTCCAAAACTGCAAGTATTTCAGCCCTGAGAGAGTCACCCACTCCAAATGGGCCGGAGAACAAGGCAGAGACAAGCCCATTCTCATCCCTAAAGACACCTCCAATCCCCGATTTTCCAGGATTCCCCCAACTGCTTACAGTGCCAGAACTGACCAAATCAGCAGTTTTTTTTTTTTTTGATGATTACCAAATCAGCAGATTGTAACTCCTTGGTCTGTTTCCAGTGCAACATTTTCCTAACCATTTTACATAATCAGCAATGGGTTGATTATCAAGATGAACCGATTGAGTGAAATTTGTCTCACGACTCTCACCCATCTGCACGTAAAGATATACAATAGATTTTTGCTTGAATATCCAACGTTTCTATTTAACAGATAATTCAGACTTTCTTAAGGAACTTCTTTTCTTCCCCCACTCTTTCTGGGGATTGGGAATATGGTGGAAGATTCAAGGACATATAACTACCCAAAAGGGTCAAAACTTAAAACATAATTAATTTTTATCAATAACTTTTTTTGGATCAGTAAATTTTTTATCAATAACTTAAGAGATGATTAATAAGAGTTCAGGACATACCCATAAATCTGCCCACAAACTAGCGCCTGACTTGGGAACAACAATTGCAATATTTGACATTCTCTTGGCAGCAGGGAGGACATCACTGCTCCAACCAACAGCAACCCAGACATCTCCCACTCCAAATGCTTTTAAGTAGTGCACACTGTCAAATAGACGAACCTGCAGAAGGACAACTCGGTAAACATGCTATCCTTATATTAACAAATGCAAATCTGATGCATTTGGCAGACATAAAGGTAACTGTTGATAATATACTACAGAATGGGTTTACATGCATATTTATGCAATTATAAAGCCATTCCTTGGATAAGCCATGTCCAATATAGAACCAATCAGAAAATCCTGACATAAGCAGACTTTTCCTACTCTTGTTCTATATATGAAATTATATTCCTTTCTCGTTTTCTTTTGCTATTCTTACTCCTTAGGGGTCATTGCTTGGTGTGTGAGAGCAGCCACTTTGTGCATAATAGTCAAATGTTGGGTCCATATTGTCCTGTTAATGCGATTTCCACACTTAATAATCTGACCATAACAAGCAAAAATGGGCAGCCCCAGTGCATCCCACCAATGCGGGGTATGGGGAGGGACAGATGTATGCAGCCTTACCCCTGTACATACAGAAAGGCTGTTTCCAAGATTTGAACCCTGGTCACCCAGGTCGCAATGGACCAACCCAACCATTGCACCAAGACCATAACAAGCAACAATCTAAAAATCATGTTTATCGTACCTGTTTTTGAAGCAATGCCAGATTCTGCATGACAGCATTCCTCCCACCAGGAACTTCTGAGTCAAAATCCTTTGTATTATAGGAAGCCCCCATGTACTTTAGAACTGCACCAACAACCTCTCTAGGAGAATCTACCATTGAAATCTTCCCAGCAAGATCTGGTCTCCACAAATCCCCCCAGTCCTGCAATTGTGATTTATATATTCCCAGAATACTACAAACAACATGACAAGTTTACAACTTAATCTTGGTTATACAGAACCTATATTTGCAATTATCCATTTCTAAATTGTGAAATGGGGATAGAAAATTCAGAATGTGAACCAAGTCATGTATTGCTAAACCATGGTATTGACAGAAGGTGAAAACCTTGAAACGGGAAGCATGCTTACTTCAGATCAATTAAAAAGAAGGATTCTTAGGGATGAGGGAGGCATTATTTGTGCTTTATTTTCAGGCCTAATCAAGCATGGTGAGTCAGTGAAAGCAGAATCTTTTGTAGCAGTTTATGGGCTAGAGAAGGCCAAAGAATTGGGAATTGACAGATTGATTATTGAAGGGGATTCGAAAGTAGTTGTGGGATGAAAAAAGGAGAGGAGGTGAGTGAGGAATGATTTTAGAAGATTTATGTGGCTGTCAAAGAAATAAACATCCAAGTACATTGGGTTATAAGATCTGCAAACAGCATGGCAGATGACTTAGCTAAGAAAGGGGTTCAATGACAGTGCCTCTGTTTTGCTCTATTTAGAATAAGTAGGTGGCATCCTTCAAAACCAAAAGAGATATTTGCTTTGCAGCCAAGCATCCAGGTGAGCAAGAAAGACAGGACAATGTGGAGATGTGTCCCATTCACAGTACTTTGGTGCATTTCGAAGGAAAGGAAGAGCAGAATATTTGATAATGTGCAAATGATCCATTAATGTACGTGCTCTGTCATTGAAACCTGGTCTTGGATTGGATTCTTGGGTGCCCAGAATTTACTGATATCCAAAGAGACACTTCTAGGAATCCTTTTGGACAATAGAGTTATAACTTGAATCTGCATAGTGTTGGGCAAGCTATTTGGTTGTGATTGTTACAACTTTACTGGAAGCCTTACTAAAATGGAAAGAAAAAAAAAAGTGGAGAGAAAGAGAGGGCAGGGGTTAAAACTTAACTAGTTAAAGATAAAAGGACAGTAAAGTCCTCAACTGTAAAAAGAATAGCTCCTCAAGAAGAACCCAAATTGTAAAAACGAATAAAAATATTCTCTGTTCACTACTTTAGAAAGACAGATACAATCTCTTTAGAGAGGAACACCAGCTTGCTAACTAAGCAACCTCTCTACAAGAAACTTTTATGAGAAAAAGAAAAGAAAACCTAAGTATTCTAGTGGACCCTATGATAAGTACCTCTTGATCTCTTTTTCTCTAAACAAGGCAACTGGGATTAATATTATTTGTCCACTTCATTGGGTAGTAAGGTAACAGCTTCTCAATGAAAATATACATGTCTAACAAAGAAAAATATAATTTATAAAAAAATAGGAAGGAAGTAAAAGAGAAGGCAAAGAAGAAAAATCAAAAACCAGAAATTTGTCCACTTTTGGTAAGTAAATAATTAGTTGCTACTTGCTACCACATGGTCCATACCTTAAATAGATTGGAAGGCATTCCCTATCTTGAATTTTAAGTCAAAAAGAAAAAGAAAAAAAGATAGATTTAGAGGCAATTACCTCTATTGGAGACAGGTTATGTTTTTGAAATTTGCTTTTCTTGTATGCTATCACAATGCTTCCCCACCGATAAGGAGCACCCCAAATTTTCCCATTAGAGTCCAACTCTCCATTACTGTTCCTGCATAAATAAGCCTGAACCAGTTTTAATGAACGTAAAATTGTAATATTCCACTTCTTTCTACTTCTGCTTGTTTTCTTCTCTTTGTTCCTTATCTAATTACTTTTTACAAATAACGACATCCTGAATTCTTTTTTCCCTTTTTATTTCTTTTCTTGTGTGTGTGTGTGTGTGAGAGAGAGAGAGAGAGAGAGAATGTTCAGTAAGCAATGTATAATGTATTTGACATGAACAGGAATTCTGACCTTCCATTTATCACTTAAGCCTTTAAACCAATCTTGGCTTTCTACATCTTCCATTGGTTCAATTATACCCTTCTTAATGGCCAAACTGAGCCAGGAGTCACCAACAGTAACAATATCAGCTGCCATAGAAGATCTAGGATCCAGACTGGTTTTACTAAAATCTTTATTTAGGTCGGAGAATATGTCCCCAAGACTTCCACGGAACTCTGAACGTAACTTCAATCTCCTTCCTTGTACTTGCATAAAATCCTATATTCACGAAAACGATGAGGAAACAATGCATAAAAAAGGGTTTTACTGAAGAAAGAAATAGAGGGATTTTAACCCAGAAATAATGAGTAGTCAATGAACTATGGGTTGTAGCCTTATCTGATTCCAAATGTGTCAGTCCTAATGTGTTGTTAAGGGACTCGTACATTGTTGTAGGTCTAACTACATTTCCTGCCATTGTAGTAGCGTAAGCCAATTGGGTAAGGTTGATCTGTGGGTTCTCAAAATTGGGTACAGAGGCCGAAGAAGATATGTCGGTGGAAAGAATTACAGAATATCAAGTAATAATGTCTTTAGAAAAGGTTCCTCCCAAGAGGACCAAATTCCCTATTTATAGGGAAGGCTGGCCATGCAGACATGCATGGCCTCTCGACATTCCAGAATATTCTAAGGAGACTATTAGTTACAACTGCAGATCCTATGCCTCCTCAGGTGAAGACACATGTCCAGAGGGGACCGGGTAGTAACCTATGTAGTTTTCCCCCTCCATGATTCCATCACGTCAATGTTTTGAAAGTGCAAGGCGCAAAAAAGGCACAATGGCTCAATTTGCGCCTGAGGCACACGCCTTTTTAAGCAAGGTGCAAAAATAAAAAATAAAAAATGCCAAAAAATTCAAAAAAATGCAAAAATCAAAAATTTATTAAACATAATATTAATAAAAATATAAACTATGATTTTAAAATAAATATTTTAAAAAACCTATTATCTAATATTAAAATACATAAATATAACATGTAAAGCATATTCAAATGAAAATTTAAAAATAAAATCAAATATGTAAAACATTTTCAAGCATATAAAACCCACAATATCTTATTTCTCAATTGCATTACTTCAAGTAGCTAATGTGATGTAAAACATATTACATTCCTGATTCTACAAGCCACCTTTGTACCACGCCCCTCGAGGCAAGCCCAAACAAGTCCACGTTAGGTCTACCAGCAGCTAGACACAAAAAAAAAGCAAAAAAGCATCAAAGTTTCAAAAGGCGCACGCCTGAGCTGAGGCACACCAGGCACACCAAGCGTGTGCCATTTGAAAGGGCTGCGCCTAGGACCTGGGCGAGGTGCCTACCCTAAAATGCGCCTTGTCTGTGTGCCTAGGCGTGCCTTTTAAATCACTGCATTACGTAGCATGATCTTAGCTTCTATGCCTTTCACGTGCAAAGTGCTATTTTGCCTAGGCATGAGTGTCGCAAGGCTAGATTTCAACAAACCCCTCTGCAGGATTCGCTGTTCCAGGAGTTCGACAAGTATTGTGAGTCCTAGAAGCTGAGTGCTCTGGAATCGTAATGCTCTAGTGCCATGCCATGGCAATATCTATTGTCTTACAGGTAGTTTGGAGATTAACAAATGTTATTGGAAAATCTGGGATCAGTATCAAATATTAACTTATTGCCTTGGGTTAAATGTTAACCTTATAGCAGTTAACTTCGAGAAATCCTACATTCATAAAGAATTCTTACTAGTGAAATATGCTTATCCATGTAAAGCTTTTCATATTTGTACATTTTCTCAAAATCTTCGCTCTGTTATAGAATGAAAATAAAATAACTTTCAACCCACAAAGTGGGCATTCTTTTTCTTAAAATAATAGAATACTGAAAATCCAAATGCAAATTGGACACCAGAAGGTTAGATGGTAGAAAACAAGAGAGGTTCATCATTGTAGAGGAGAAAAGTTCACCCTTCATCATGTTGGGACCAAGACTAAGAGCATGGGGCAAACTAATACCATAATCAAAAAAAAAAAAAAAAAAACTAGCAACAAATACACACGGTCTAGTGGCCATTGCATCTTCCGGTACATGCTGGATCTGAGACTTAAATCCCATAGTTTCAGCTTTACGAATAGTAAATCCACACAATTTCCACAAGATAGATGAATCACTTTCATAAGAACCTCACTGTTTTATAACTTGGAAATTCCATTGCAAGAATATGCAAATAAGGGGAAAGAGTTTACAAAAATTAAGAAGAGAAAGAAAGCGTGTCAAACAAAATGTGTACTGGACCTTAATCCAAGAAGGCGGTAATGAGCCACGGAGAGAAACAATTCTTAGAGGTACAGTCAAAGCGTATGTTTTAGACTTCCAGCTTTCTAGTGCAGCTTTCAACTCTTCATCTTCTACGGTTTCCAGAATATCAGATTTGCCTGTGTTTACTGTTTACCAAACAAGCCCGATCGGAAGATCAGAACTTTTTCAATAAATCCAGAGAGAGAGATTGCTATAACTGTTTGTCTTTCCCTCCTAAACCCAGAAATTAAAAATGGAAAATGGTTAGCGAACATAAAAGAAGGATGACAAGAAACAGAACCTGCATTCGGATCGACCGAGGGGTAACCTCCCCCATCTCTTTCTTCGATCCTCTGCTCCAGTATTTTCTGAGATATGGGAGTGGGAACGACGGGAACCGGGGCGGCGACGGCCGTGCAGGCCCGGGCAGCAAAGCCAATAAATAGTATGGCAGAGGCAGCGAGGTGAAACAATCCAGGATAAAGTTTTGTGGTTTCCTTGGATGACAGAGAAACCCCTGAAAAAGGTCCCTGCGACGACGGTGGCGTTAGGTTTCGGCCTCCGGAGAAGGCAAAAACCAGCGGATAGATTCTTAATTTCCTCCTATATAGGCTCAGAGTTGTCGAATTGTGGAGGAAAGGAGACTGAGGATTAGGATTTAGGAAATGGGAGAGTAAGAGTGGCTGAGACAGTGGGGCTAACGGCAGCAGTGCCATTGTTATTGCCCGAGAGCGAGAGGAAAGACAACGGGATATATTGTATATGTTTGATCGATGCTGCGAATAAAAACGGGCAGTGCCATGCCGCGGGTCGGGCTGGTCCGTGGGCCAAGCTTTGGGCCAGGTTGGAGAGGTGAAAGAACGAGCAAAAGTTGCAAGCGCGACAAGGGGCCGAAGGTAGATGGGGTTATCCCAGTTCAGTTTGCCGCTACGGGAAGGAAGAAGGGGACGAGGGAAGGGTAATATTGGGTTTTAAAAGAATTTTAAACTTCACGTGATATCGCATGTATATGGGTTTTGACAGAATATTAACGGATATTAATGGTAAGAGTAAAGTTAGTTAATTGTCAAAAATAGTAGGGGTAGCATCAATCAATTTTCAAACAATAAGGATACAGTTAGTCAATTAGCTAAATCATAAGGGTAGTAAGAAATTTACCCATAATTAAATAAATTAGTATAATAAAATTGAAAACAATTATTTATTTTATTAAAATATTATATACTATATTATTATATAATTATAATTTATATTATATATAAATATATAAAATATATAAATATTATATATATAATATAAATAATACATATGTGTCGGGTTGGGCCGGCACACGGGCCACAGGCGGCATGGCCCACATGGTCATGTCATATCGGCCCAGCCCACGGACCTAAAACCCCAAGCCCAGCACGACCCACATGATTGTGTTGGGCCTGGCACAGCTCGCATGCCATTGTGCCCGTAGCACGGCCTGATTTACACCTCTAGAAAATGGTGCTACTGATGTGTGGGTTGGAAGTACCACTTTTTTTAGAAAGTGGTGTCTTTTTTTTTTGTTTGGAAACGTTGCTGCCAGGTATGACGTTTCCTGGAGCAACAACGTTTTCTGTTTGGTACTAATGCTCTAGGAAACTTTTTCAGCATTGGTACCCATTATCCACTGCCACCTCATGTCCCTATTGGTAGCAATTAGTTGCAGCTCTAGGAAATGCCAAATTCGGTGTTGCTCCAAGCCACGCCTTCTTAATTTTCAATGCATGGCTTGGAGCACTGTTTTTTCTGATGTGGTGCTGATGTGTCGCCATTTTTCGGAGCGACGGCATCGATGCCAAATAGATGCATTTTCTACAATCACGGTCCCCTTTGTTTTCGCTTTCAATATTTTCCTTTTCCTTTTCTATTTTCCTACAAATTAAATGTTTGATTGCTGAGAAAAAAAGTTACAAAAACAAGAGAGAGAGAGAGAGAGAGAGAGTTATATGAGTTTCATATGAAAGAGGGAAAAACTTTTGCTATTTGCAAAAAATAGTCTAGGTTGTTTTAGAAGCCTACACTAAATGGCATCGATTAACTAAGGTGTCATGTGTAAAGGCTCCCAAAACAGCCTAGGCCTTTTTTCCAAACAGGCAAAGTGATAGGGGTGTTTACATTAAATGTCAAACTGACCAAACCGGCCCGACTCAACCCGAGTTGGTCGATTTTTCAAAACCATTGGTCGGTTTCAATTTGCATGAGAAAATAAACCAACAACTCGGTTTGGTACCAAATCGAACTGAACTGATTCTACATGTTTAAGTAATTATTAATTAGTCCCTACCATATATGTTAAATGTTGAATTATTTTATTTGTGCTTTGTTTGAACTTTGAAAAAAATGGTTATTTATGACAAAAACTGAAAACATAAAACCAATACAAATATAATACAATGGTATAATATTTAATTCAGTTTTGTATAAATTTAAATATATATTGACAAAAAAATCATTTTTGCATAAAAAAATTAATTGATTTAAATATATATTTTGATTTTGCATAAAAACTAAAAAGAAATAAACTTAAATATAAATAGATATTTTAGTTTAAAATATATATAAAAATCGATTAAACCAACCCAAACTGACCTTCATGTTTGTGTTGGTTTTGCTTCAAGGTCGATCGGTTTCGGTTTAGTCAATAAGTAAACCGACTAGGTTGGGTCGGTTGAAGAAAATGACTAAAACTGACCTAACCCAACCTATGAACACTTCTACAAAGTGATCTCATGGAAGAGGGGTCACTTTATCTAATCCACATACTTACAATGAATTTTGGGAATTCAGATTAGCTGAACGCAATGGCCGTTCAGCAAGCTGTGGAATCAATGATGAGGTTTCATGCCAATAATAAATTCATGGGCTCCATTGTAAAAGGTGTGGGCCCATGTATTTAAATACTGGCATGGAACCTTATCATTGGTTCCACAGCCTATTGAACAACCATCATGTTCAGCCAAACCTTGCTTGAATTTTGTGCCCAACAATTTATTAACAATTTTTAAATTAAAATTGTCTAACTTCTTCCTCCTTGCATACTAACTTTAGATATTATGTTTTATATGCTATTATGTGTTTATGTATTTACATATGTATGTAGATTTTCAACAAAGTTTTATGAGGGATTTTGATTTGTAAAATGTCTTATGGAAGTTGGAATCTGCTTGCATTTTCCCACTAGCAACTATTATGAATCTTCAAGTTAAAACATTAATAGCGATAATTTCAACCCTGGAATGTGAACAATGAAATATCTATAAAGTGATTTTATGTCTCCGATTAAACAAAAATAACATCCAAAATAGTTCCCTCTTGCTTCTAAGAGTTTCTCTCTTGTTTATGCAAGTATCTCTCTCACATCACAGTTTGTTCGTATCTTCTTTTTTTTCTATTGTTTTGGGGGTTTGCTAGGGATGTGCAAGGGAAAGATTGGATTATAGGTTTCTCATTATTGTTTAGGGAAGATAATGTTTTTATATGACTCTTTTCCAATACAAGCGGTGGAAGACCTTCCCATTATTTTTGTGTGGGCTTGTCACAAAGGATCAAAAGTTAATGGTTTGGCTTGGATATATTCTTCCTGGTTTTTCTAAGTCGTGCTAGTGTTTTATGGTATTCAATGAAGGAAACCATGGTTCTACTTCGACGATACTTCTTTACTTATGCAATTGTTGGCTTTGCCATTAAATTGGTAATCTAATCAGAAACAACCATGTTGAAGGTTATGTAACAAGTTTTCATGACATGGAACATTTATTCATTGCAAATGGAAAAGAGGTATGTGATCATGTCTTAAACACATTTAGGAAAAAGGAAGATGACTTTTTGATGAACATGTTTTATAGGTTCATGTTTTACTTATCTTCTTAAAACTTGGCTATGAGGCGTGTTTCATGGTGTTGTGCATCTATTTAATCCAAATGGGATATAGTGCATTGAACATATTTTCTTTGTACTTTGAAAAAAGGAGTCAACAATGTAGCAACTATTGCTTCCACTGATGTTGATGATAGTATTTCCAATGGTCGTCTGCCTGATTATAAGTTTTTTGGTGCCCTAGGTACCATTATGTCTTTTGAAGTTCAATTGCACCATGGGGTTACTATGACAAGTGAAAGAGGAGTGGATATTGTCATATTTCCTTCTCTAATGGTTTATTGATGGATGCATTTTCAGAAAAATGGGTTGATTCCATGGATCATGCGTTAAAGTTTCTATTCAAATCTACTTGTAATGTGTTGGATTGGTTTACTACTTTTTATGGAAATAATTTTATCACGTTTAGTTGATAGGAGGTCTTTCTTTGGCTTCCTCTATACCCCCCCCCATCATAATTGAATTGTGTTCTTAATACCATGGATTGGTTTTTCCTTGACATTATTTTCTACTCTTAAAATTTGCATAGACAAAGCTCTGGAGTTACATTCTTTGCTACAAGAGTTTTAGTTTCATAAGTTTATCTCTATTGGAGGATGTTGTTCCTTCGTGTTTGGTATTTACAAACTTTTGGCACCACTTGTAAAGGTAACGTGTTGCTCATTCCTTGTGCTCATTATTACTCCATTGTTCTTCAACAAGTTTGGTCCATTACTTAATGTTAGGTTTGTTTCTTAGGTCATGTTCATAACCAATTGTCATGTGTTGTTGTTTATTGTTTTGATTTTGTTTGTAATTTGAGCATTTTATCAATTTAATGTGCATTTTTAGGCTTCAAAAAAAAAAGAAAAAACATCTAGAAAGTGAACCCAATACAAGTTTGATGCTTTCGTTTTCATTTTGCAAACACCCAAGTGATCGGACAAGATTTTGATGTCATATCATTTTCATTAAATTGCTTGGTTTGAAGTGCTACCCCAGGTAGCCAAACATAGAGGAGGGCTGAATTGGGTTCTAAAAATTTCTTTCCCAACTAAAGCCTTTTCAAGCTAAGGAACTATGTAAAAATAATAGAAATTAACAAGTGAAGTGCTTGTGTGACAAAGATTAGTAGTGGGTATAATGAATACAAATAGATTTAAAAAACAATTGTATGTTGACCTTGTTTTGATGATAACAAATTCATTGAGAGTATTAAGGGTATGGTAAGATTATAACCAATATAACTCAACTTCTCTGAGCTATAATTGTACTAAGCAAACATGCTAATGAAAAAGAATTGGAAGCACTACTTGATTCAACTGTTTGATGTTCATTCCAACACCATTTCCAATCTTTTCAATGAGGATGCTTCAAGGAAATTCAAGCATGTAAAAAATACAAAAAAATTCAAATGCGTTGGATTTATTCAAGAGGATCTATATAACGACTCAACAATGAGGAAATCTACATTAAGCCATGGTTTAAGAGTCATATATCTAAGTTCTTGATGTAAGCAGTTTCTTAAGATGTACTTTTTTATGATACTCAACAAGATCTAACTCAATTTAATTAACCTTAGACACTAACGGATATAATAGGTTTGGTTCCTAAGCTTTCTTTGACCTAAACAAATATTAGAATCTTGAAAATCAATGTTGAAATCCAAAAGAAGAACCCCCAAACCCTTGGATAAATATTTCCAAGGTTTGTTGGGTTGAAGCATAAAATGTCATAGTTAATCGACTACGTATAACAACCAAGGCATAAAAATTCATACTGTATGATATAATTGACTACCCAAAAATGCATAATTGATTATTTATTACAGCCAAGGCATGAAAATACCTAGATCATATAGAGTAGTTAACAACTCAAAACTACATAATCAATTAATTCTAATGTGTTGAGTTAAAACATGCATCAATCAACTAAATAGGAGGATTCAATCGACCAAAGGAGAAAAAAAGATTTTTTCCTTCCGTCAACACAAATTTCGTGCTAAATTT